TTTTTTTTTTTTTTTTTTCTTCAATCTCCACTGTGATCTAAATTATTTACAAAAATTTGTATTTAACAATTTATTTATCATTTGTGGAACCTTGGAATATACATTTAACCATCTGATACAATCACTGTACCATGGTATGGCCACAGTACTTTTTTTTTTTGTTTGTTTGTTTTTTTTGTTATGGTGCTACGAAGATAGATTTTTTTTTTTTAAGACGTGAATGCTTATGATCAGTGTGTATTTGTTTTTGTCTGTGATAGAGGGAATAGAATGCAGCATTTAACCCACATTGTTGTCTATTGAATAATCACTGCAATTATCATTTGTTTTTATGAGATTTTTAGATGCAGCACATTATATTTGAACCCAATAGCTGTATCTTGCTTGAGTCAGGGAATATTTTGATTGTGAATGATACTATTAAAAAGCTTGTAAACAAATCACATGCAGTTCATGTGAAAATGATTCGAGGAGTGTTTTCTGTCATTATGTGCTGGAATAATCAGAACCAGACCATTTGTGGAGCAAAAGGCGTGAATAGAAACCACACCTAGATACTTTCCTGAAGCGCCCCGGGCTGGGGCCGTTTTTAGAGAAGTTCATCTACTTCCTGTCAGGGAGATCTTTCTGGAAGATTTTACATAGGGTGGAAACACAACATGCCACTGAATAAAATCAGGGGGATGTGTGCTTATTGCAGTAGGTTCCAGTTGGCTTATTTGACATTTAAGCATTTGGCAGACACTTTTATTCAAAGACTTACTGTGCATTCATTTTATACACTCAATATTTAACACATTAATAACACATGAGTACATGACACTGAAACAGCTAAAGATCATTTTAAGTGTTAAAGGAGTAGTTCCAGTGTTTTTCACTGGAGAAATCAATTTTATGGATAGAAGACCCGTATTTTAGCTAGATGCAATGGTTTGAAGTAAAAAAACGCTCAGCAATGGATGCTCTGCAGTGAATGGGTGCTGTCAGAATGAGAGTCCAAACAGCTGATAAAAACATCACAAGTAATCCACAGCACTCCAGTGCATCAGTTAATATCTTGAGAAGAGAAAAGCTTCTCAGAAAGCACCGTTTACAAGCCAAAACAGCTCTAAACAAACATCTGGCTGGATTTTGATGTGAGAGACAACAGGAGATACACTTTTTCACTGGAGGAAGCGTTATTATGGATTATGGACTTATATTTTGTCCAGAGGCAATGATTTAATGTTAAAAATGTGTTAATGATGGACTTGTTTATTTCAAACACGCAGCTTTTGTCTTCTCCAGATGTTAACTGATGGACTGGAGTGCTGTGGATTATTGTGATGTTTTTATCAGCTGTTTGGACTCTCATTCTGACGGCACCCATTCACTGCAGAGCATCCATTGCTGAGACACTGATGCAATGCTACATTTCTCCAAATCTGATGAAGAACAAACTCATCCTAATTTTGGATGGCCTGATGTTGAGTAAATGTTCAGCTAATTTTTATTTAACTATTCCTATAAATGCTATATCTATACACAACTTTGGAAACCTGGTCTGTTTTCTGCAGCCAATAGTGAGTCAGATCCAGAATGATCAGAGATACACCTGGACACCTGCTTTTGGGCAAAAACAGCTCATCACTTTGAGCGCTTTAACAATAGCGTTGTACTAAAGCAGAACCACCCCTATGAGACACACCCAACACTCCTGCAAACTGACGTCTGTATACCAAAACTGTGCTGAGGTGGGGGAAGAGGTTCAATAACTGGTTTTGTTGGATAATCCTGTTTCTGTCAAAGCCAGATTTAATTCTAAAAACAGGATTTAGTGTCTTTCCTCTGAGGTTTTATGTCATTGTTCACATTAACATTAGTGCTAGTGCATACATGCATCAAACAGTATACTATATATACTACTACTTATTATCAACAATTATATTACAGTTTTTCTCAGTTGCTTTGGTGCATTTCTCAGATCAGAAATGAAATTCTCAGAACTACTTATTCAACCTCCACATCATCTAGTCACTTGTGCACATCATAAAAGCAATTTCTCATTCTTTTGAGCAAGTTGCGATTGCTTTCCTATCATAACAAACCATACATCAATGAAAAGCCTATTTATTCAGCTTTCAGATGATGAACGTGTCATGTTGCTCAAAATCTACTATATAGTTCTCTGTGCAATAGTGTTTCCCCTCAAAACATCTAGTCATTAAATGCAAAATGGTTGATCTAGTTGTCATAAACTGTCAAGCATATTTTCTACACATTTCTATAAGACTTTTTGTAAATTTGCCATGAATTGTGCAGGTGAATCTTTTACTAATGAAGAGAATGTAGATCAACCAATGATAAACCAGTTCTCTGAAATAGCTCAAAGGTGCATCTCATGAACCTTCAATTGGAAAGAACATATAGACAGAGGACAACACAAGAGCTACAAAGTCTGACAATGGATGAACATCCAGAGAACGATCAGGATCAACAGCCGAGAGGAAGAAGAGGAGTAAGGATGTGTGGTGGAAGGGTACAGAGGCAAAACAGAGGAAGAGGCCAAGGACATAGACGCATATCAGATGAAATAAGGACCACTGTGGACCACATTGTTAATCATGGCCTTACAATGGCTGAAGCGGGTTTCCTGTGTTTTCGCCTTTGTGCCCATATTTCTTTTTCTTTTGTATATCACACTGACGTTGTTATGGGTTTATTTACAGTTTTTCTCAGTCGCTTTGGTGCATTTCTCAAATCAGAAATGAAATTCTCAAAACTACTTGTTCAACCTCCACATCATCTAGTCACTTGTGCACATCATAAAACCAGTTTCTCATTCTTTTGAGCAAGTTGTGATTGCTTTGGTACATTCATGCAATTGATTATGTGCATTTGTCTGCAGTTTCCTACATTATCAGTTGCTATATGTGACCCTGGACCACAAAACCAGTCGCTGGGGTATATTTGTAGCAATAGCCCAACAATACAACTTTATAGACAGAGGCCAACACAAGAGTTACACATTCTGACAATGGACTTTCTTATTTTTTATTTTCATCTTTGTGCCCATATTTCTTTTTCCTTTTCTATATCACAATTACATTGTAATGTTTTTTTTTTGGTCAGACCACTAGTAAAAGTGTAACTGGGAATTCTATCCAGTCTCTTTCAATCCATATCCCACATACAGTAGTGTGTAAATTTGTACTTTTGAAATGGATATATGGCATACATAAGAAGTAAAGCCTTCTGCATTTCAATACAGTAACTGTCATCCAAACTGCTGCCATAGTTTACATCAGACAGAGTGCACTGTTATATTGACAACATGACTAAGCATTTTGACTATCTTTGTGAACAATGACTCAAGGACTTTTCATTCTGATGGCACTGATATGTTTATTGACATAAATACTTACTTTTGAGAGATGAACTAAAGATTGTGAGTAAGTTACAGGCTTTTGCAGGTAATCCATCGTGTGGTGCTGTTTGTACGAATTGTTTTGAGAAATGCACAAATCCTACTTCTTTGCAAATATTAAAGATGATTCGAGAAATGCACCAAAGCGACTGAGAAAAACTGCATAACAATTCTGACCTTTTCCCTTCTCGCTATTCTGAGGAAAAAAGTTTGAGTTACGAGATATACTTAGAGATATTCCGTGGCGAGGTTAAAAAAAAAACCAATGTAAAGTCAGAATTTAGAAAATAAACCTGTCAGAATTGCGAAATGTTAACGCTAAATTGCAAGAGAAACAGTCAGAATTCAGAGTTTATATCTTGCAATTCTCACAGAAATGCGAGTAAAAAAAGTCTGAATTACCTATTTATTTATTTATTTATTCAGATATTGTGCTATTTTTTTTTAGAAAGATAAGTTGTTAAATGTGTTTACACTTCAAATTAAAATACGAAATTAAATCACACCACACCACGTAATTAATAAACACAAGCTATTCCTTATTTAGTCAGCCCACTCACCTACTTATCGACGTCTCTTAGCCAATCAGCTGAGACTACTCGTTATTTAATTAATATTCATGAGCAAAGCCTTCGCTGTGTACAGTAAAGAGTTTCGCTCATTTTAACGCATACTTAGCGTTGTCTGTCTTTCAGCCAATCAGCTAGCCAGCTGCTAGCTGACGTATGCCAATCTTACGTCACGTTGATTAATATTAATGAGGCACAAACAGCAACTGTTTTGACGCTCTGGGTGGATCTCGGTAGAAACACTGATGTTGATGATAAATACTGCTGTCATCTCAACCAGATCACATTCACTGCTTCATCATGGACTTCGATCTGGACTCAGGTAAACAGATGCAGAAATGATATACCAGTAAACACACACTGGTTGATTTCTAAGAGAAACTAACAGTTTTATTCCTGTTTTGGAGCAGCTGTTGGAGATGATGAGGTGAAGAAGCAGGAGGGCAACGAGGTGGAGGGCATCTTTGGGTTTGGAAAAAAAGATAAAGACAAAGAAGAAAAAGAAAAAGATAAAGAGTGTAAGGACAAGGACAAAGGTAGTGACAAGCCAAAGGTAAAAATATTTGATCATGATGGTCAATGAAAGTTTTCTAATACACAGAAAAATCTAAATCACAGTTTCTGTTATAAGAACATCAACATGCGTGACATACTTATCATAATGTTATTGTCAATTCTATGTTATATTGATTTCAAACTAAAAACTTTTACATTTTATACACATGTAGATGAAAAGTATAAAATAATCAGATTTTGCATATAACAGGGTTATTATTGATAACTAAAACTAAAACCATAAAAATGTTGTTAGTTGAAATAAAATATAGAATACTTATTTCAGCGAGTTGCCGAGGCAACATTTTTCATTTTAATTTAGTTTAACTTGACTAACTGAAACTAAAACTGAAATAAATTATAAATAAAATAAAAAAATGACAAAAACATAAATGAAAATGTCTAAAACTTTAGAATAAAAATTTAAATGAAAACGGAAAACATAAAAATAAAAACCAAAGCTTACAGACATAAATAAAATCAAATTATAATTAATTAAATATATTATAAATAATTCTAATTATAACTAAATTATAAATAATTATACATAATTTATAAATATATTATTAAAAACTATAATATCAATATAAAATATATAATAACTAATATAATTCAATCACTATGATATTACAATAACACATTTGGAAAGTGTTTATAATGTGATCGGACAGTTAATAATCTGAATTTCCTATTAAATCAAAATGTTTGCATTGTTTTTTTTACTCTTTAACCCCTTCCACTCCAAGCACTTTTCCTTTAAAGCCACTTTTCAGTTTCCTGATGTGTTTATAATCAGATTACAGAAGCAAAATGTGTTCCGAACAGTGTTTTGTGTCGAGTTCAACCCGGAAGACTCCTTTCAAGAGCTCAAAAATGTTGCTCAGCCCTTGAGGGTGAATAATGACGTAAAATAAGAAATGTTACAACATGCTGGTGTTTAGAATGTGATGCATTATACTGTTTTATGCATGCTTTTTCAGAGTGATTGCAAAGAAGAGGATAAAGACAAGGACAAGTGCAAAGACAAAGAGAAGGACAAGAGCAAAGACAAAGAGAAGGACAAGTGCAAAGACAAGGAAAAGAAGAAGGATAAAGAGCACAAAAAGGGGCACGGACATGGTCATGGACACGGACATGGTCATGGTCGGGGACGTGGACGCGGACGCGGACACAGGTCATCCTCTTCATCCAGTGATGAGGTACCTTTACTATGGTTTTATAAACACTTAATTAAAACAAGCCCAAATTAATTTGGTTTTGTGAGACACAGAAGGAGATCTTAAGCATACCGACTTCTTTTATGGTGATTTTTGGTTGTTTTTTGGTGCAGTTTGGTACCATTAGTTTGTCTATGAGCAGATAAAGTTTAAGTTAAGAACAGGTTACTAACGTTTTAATTACATTTTTTAACTGAGGATGTAAAAATGGCGTGATAATGGCATCTCATAAAAACGGCTGATCTTGAGGTGTGGTGCACACTTACAGTCGTAAAGATGCACTATCTAGGGCACATCCTCATTCTTCAGTTTTGCTTAACTACAGTTAAAAAAAAAAGACTCAAATGAATCGTTCTGATTGATTGAGCCACGTTTGATGCTAATCTACATAAACTTTCTACCTCACTGACTTTCGCCATGTTTCATGTTCTTCATTCTTACATGTAAGTAATATACTGTAAAACAAACCTGGCCAGTTTAAATGTGTCAAACTTCGTTAAAAACACCTGGATGAAGTCGAGTGCTTTCATAGACTGACTTTCATAGTCTGCTGGATGGATCCGCCCCTGTAATGCAGACAAACCGGTTTACTTGTTGAAGAGAGGACAAAAAAAAAAAACACAAAAGATTTTCCAGAAACCAAATGCATGAGATTCGACCAAAAATGTATAATCTGTGTTTCTCAAATCATTTATGTAGAGTTACAAGCACTTGAACTGTCACATTTGTTTTTTTTTCATAGAAAACTGGAAGTTAACATTATTCTCTCTTTGTTTGCAGGACTAAAGCTGAAGACTGAAGACATAAGGGGGCCGGGGCAAGTTGTCACACAGGGAAAATGTCCTAAGGGATTTATTTTTATAGCAACTGTGAGGTTTTGAGTCAAAAAATCCAATTGCACAAATGCTTGTTTTCTAGCAGTGGTTTTATATGTTGGTTTCAAACACCTAGTTGCACCATTTGTATTAAATTAGGATAATGTTTTTGGAATTTTGTCCTACAAACTAAAATTTCAGTACTATTATCTTTTTATAAATTGGTGCGAGCTGTTACATGAGTTCTGTGATGTACTGCATATACAGTATCTATGAAAATCTCCTGGTATTTTTTTGTTTTTACATTTTTTAGCAGTTTGTTTTACTGTTAAAGACATTATATAGCCTGTAATACATTTGAAATATTATATTGTGGAAAATGGATTGATTTTATGTATGTTACAAATAATGTTTGTTTTCTCAAAACAATTCCCATTCTTGTGATTTATCCCATATATAGTGACAACATGGCCCACTAAACATAAGTCAACATAATGAACTGTAGGCTATATTTATACTGGATAATAATGATAGACATGTCCAATAGTTGTTTCAGGTTGGTGACTATTGAAAAAGCGACATAAGTGACTTTTCAAAATAAACTTTTTTGAAATTAATTGGTATAAAAAGTTGTCCTAGACTCCTTTATTTACACTACAGTACAACATTATATATATATATATAGTCATTTAGTAGAGGCTTTTATCCAGAGCGACTTACAAATAAGGACAATGGAAGCAATTAAAATCAACAAAAGAGCAATGATATACAAGTGCTATAATAAGTCTCAGTTAGCTTAATGCAGTACACATAGCAAGTTTTTTTTTTATCATATAATAAATAAAAAGAAAACGGATAGAATAGAAAAAATATATAGCAAGCTAGTGTTAGAGGCCTTTTATGCTTTTGTTATTTGTATAATAAATAAAAAGATAACAAATAGATAGAATACAAAAAGATTAGAGAAGCAAGTGTTATTTTTTTTAAAGAAAACAAGCAGTTAGTAAATAAATAGAGTGCAAGTCTAAAAGGGATCCCTTATTTATAGACAAAACTCTTCCCTGAAACCTGCTAAAATACACTGTGCATGCCATATGTGCAACTTTAAACAAGATTACAGCTGAAATGTTGCTAAAAAAAAGCTGTTAATGAAGGGTTAAGTGTGTGTGTGTGTGTGTGTGTGTGTGTGTGGGCGTGGATTTGTTGTTATTGAAGTAGGAGTGGAGAACAGATGCTTCCGTGAATGCACACCTGAATAAAATCACCTGAGCGCGAAATTATACTGCGCGGCCGCCCAGTCACACAACCTTATTAATATTCATGAGCCAAGCCTTGCGCTTATTCGCTGATTAACTGTCGCTCACCTACTCGCGGCTATCGTTCAGCGAATCACATAATCCGACCGGGCGCACGTCAGATTACGTAATTAATATTAATGAGACAAGCTCTTGTAAATCTTGGCCAAACACACAGATCTTCACAAACGTCGATCAGAGAGTCTGATAACTACGACGGTTCATCATGGCAGGTAAACCGCTGCAAAGCTCATTTAAAACGTTTTTAATTTATTTATTTTCTGAATCAAGAAACATTAGTTGAATATAAACGAATGCGTTTTTATTCACTCTTTCTCCAGATGAAAAGGTGAAGAAGTCAGAGGGCAAACAAGTCGAGGGAATCTTTGGGTTTGGAAAGAAGGATAAAGACAAAGACAAGGACAAGAGCAAAGACAAGGTAAACATATGTATACATGATAATCTGATCAGAAACAACCATTAAAATTACAATAGCCACTAGAGACATTCGTGTTGTGACTAATGGGTTAAAGATCTCAGAAGTCACAGTTTATCCTATTATAAAACATAAACATGTGATCAATATTGATAATAAGAAACATCTTGTGAGTGTTATACTGGACAAGATGAAGGGGAAGTATTGATAGTGGCTGTGTGGAAAACATCAGCTAGCCCTGAAAAACTTTGCATATGGAAATAAGTTTGATAATGTTACAGATATTGAATTTGAATAATCTCTCTCGGGACACTTGCTGGTTTGAGATGTCTAAAGGTTTCTTAAAAACATCTTCAGTTCAAGATTTTAAGTTCATGTCTCTCAGCAGCCCATCCATATATGTACACTTTAGTCATTTTAAATAAAGGAACAAACTATTTGATGTGTCCCGCTCCAACTTCCTGTTTAAATAGGAAATACGAGTGCAGATGATGTGCAGAAATAGATGTGACCGTCTGCTGTTTAATGGAATATGAGATTTTATTTTAGTTCATATATTTATTTTTTCAGAGTGATGATAAGGATAAAGATAAGCACAAAGATAAAGAACATAAAGACAAAGACAAGAAGAAGAAGAAAGACAAGGAGCACAAGAAGAAGGACGGTGACAAGTCCTCGTCTTCCTCCAGCGATTCGGTAACTTTTTTGCTTTTTTAACACCATTTTAATGCACATACTGTATTAATGCACAGGTACAGGTTGAAGGTATCAATATGAGGAGCAACGTTTAAATTGGGAGTGAGTTATATTGCATTTATTAGCATTAATAATGTGTGTCAACCCAGCAGATAGGCACAATGACCAAAGGCAGCAGGGTTGGGCTCCATAAAGGCCGTGATAGTGGCGTCTCGTAAAACCGGTTGCTCTCGAGGTGTGGTCCAGCTGTACGGCTGTAAAGCGTTTCAGATGGGCAGGGACTTGATTCTTCAGGGTCTCCTGGAAAGTTTAGCTGTGATTTCTTCCCATCCCTCGCAGCATTCCTGCAGTTAGACGTCACTTATCACACTGATATCACACATTTAGAGACGCACCCGCAGAGGAATTTCCAAAATAACCGCTTTATTTAGACACAGATGGGATCTTTGTGTAAACATGCCAAACAATATGCTAGAACGTTGTTTTAAGCAAAACAATAACCTGTTTAGTGAGTATAGATAAGGTCAGTGGAGGGAAACAAATCCTGGTTACCATAGTATCACCTACACTTCTATAGGGAAAGTAGATCAAAGGGAATTGATTAAAAAGGTAGTTGATACATTGGTATTTTAAATAACAATGTATCAACTATAAAAATATTTCCAAAGATAAATAAAATAATTTTTAATACACTAAAATAAATTAAAAATTACCTCCTATCTATCTATCTATACACATATATTATATTACATTATAATTTTCATTTTTACAAACTAATGAAATTATAAATAAATAAACTAATTTTAAAATTACATTTAAAAAGTGTATATATATATATATTTATTTCACACATATACATATATTTTACACATACATATGTGTATTATTCAAAAATTGCATACACATGTGTATATATAATTGTTCATACTAGTCTTATGTTAACACACACGCAACACTTTTTTTTTTTTTTTCTTTAAAAGTGTATTTACTTGCAACACTGTTGAGATATCTGAGCAGCAGTGCTAGAGATGCAGAATGAATGGTAATGTGGCAGTGGAGGGATTTCAGGACGGGTGCAGGGTTTGATCTTTCGTATGCCGTGGTGTTCAGGATCATATGTAGTCGACTCATGGCGAGTATTACAGCAGAGCGTGAGCTGGTGATAAAAGCACATATCTATCACACAGTGTCTGCAAAGGAATGAATGTGTGCACTTTAATAGTCTCTCAGAGGCGATAACAAGCCTCACACGGCCCTTATAACGCTAATACAGAGAGTTTCAGACTTGATATTCAGTGCAAGAGTTTGACTTGGTGGATGCTTTCTCTCTCTGGACTTTTTTTAGAAAACATCCACAAAATCCACAACATTTATTTAATTTATTTTTTATTTTATTTTATTTATTTATTTATTTATTTTCTTAAAGCAATAATTAACTCCTTAATGTCAGATCTGTCATTTACTCACCCTCATATCATTCCAAACCCATATGATTTCTTTGGTTCTCTTTTGTCAAATGACTGATCTCAACACGCCAAATTTGCAAAATCGCAGTATAAATCACCATCCACTTCCTTTCTTTAAAACTCTGAGATTCTATTTTTGTTCCACTGAAGAAGGGAAATAAAATGGGTTTGGAATGACATGAGGTGCATAAATTAAATGTATTTTTGAATAAGTTTTTTTTTTTTTATGAAATAATATCCAAAATAATGTATTGCACCAGTGCCTGCATAATGAGGGTTTAGGTTTAGTTTAAGGATTCTTGTAAAAATCTGAAGGTTAACGTTTGTCTTTCTCTCTGTTTTTTGTAGGACTGAAGATTCATCTGATACCTCCAAAATCATAATTTAAAATCTTTATTATATGATTTTTGTAGATGTATAAATGCAATATTATGCAATGCAGGGGGTAGTAATAAATAATAATTAATCTCTTGAAGTTTTCATAAAGTTTTTGAGCTGTAATTACAAACTTCCACAAGGTGGCGCTACTTACATGCCAAATCTTCAGTGAAGCACTGGAATAAAGAGACCTATCAGCTATTGTGTGTAAAAGTGATTTCTGGTTTAATATATTCTGAAGTTTGAAAAAAAAATTCATCCATTTTGTCTGATATTAACTTTCAGTGGTTGCTGGTTAGTGAACTATTATTGTTTTGATAAATCTTGGCCAGTTTGTTGTGCAAATGTAGGCCATGTTTGAGTGTGTAATCAAATTTAAAGCATTCAGCACAAATTAACTGATATATATATATATATTATCAAAATAAAGCTTTATCTAGTAACTCAGTTAATTAGAAATAGGTTAAAGAGTGTTAGGTTATCCCACATCCTCTGATTTTCACCATTAAAATGGAAAAAGGCAGTTGTCAAAATGACAATATCTTTGTCTAAACAGCACGCTTATGCAAATGCATGGTGGATTTTGAAGGTTTCAGCACAGATCTGTCTTGTTTGAGCACGATTTGTTTGCTTATTCATCTATGTTTGAGTACGGCACAGATAATTCATCTGAACAGCAGGGACGAAACGCGGCTGCTTCCAAACACTGTTTTGGACGCTCTTTGCTGGGCTGAAGACAACTGTATGCCAGAGATAAGAGAACAGGACGATTGTTGCCCAGAGGCGGAAGAGAGGCATATTTCTCTCTGTCCATCAGACTGAGACAGTCTTTCTCTCTTATTCGGTGCCAAACGCCTGCAGGATAGATGCAAAGCACAGTGTTGCATTTTGTTTCAGCCACACCCTGTCGATCTTTCACTTGCATATTTCATCAAACACACTGAAGATGCTGAAAGTTTAATCGGGGAAAAGTTGGCGGTTGGAGATGTTCGGTGCGGTCTGGGGTCAGAGATCTGAACATCAGCAGAAACTGCACATTTCTCACAGAAGATGGATGTAAATGCAGAGCAGTTTTTCTCAGAGGTGTGTGAGGGGTTACTTAGCTGTACTTTGAGGACAAATTGGTCCCAGAAGTAACTAAATCGGGCAAAATTTGACTGCGGTCAAGTTCAGTTACAGTATGTCCTGGGAATTTTTTTTATTTTCAAGTAAAATAAATGTTGCATTCTTTAAGGGTTAATAGTTATTATTATATTACAAGTTATGTGTATGTGTACGTATGGAGTACCAAATCTGTAAAAAAAATTAAATTTAACATGAATACATGCATATAAATAATTAATAATTTAAATAATACAATTTAAATAAAAATTTATGGATTATTTTGTTTTCCTTTATTTTATTTCTGTATTTTTTAACTTTGCTTTATTTGTTTTTTTACCCTTTTTCTTATTCTTTCATTTATTTTCGTTTTATTTGTAGCCTATGTTCATTCACTGTCACTGTTTATTTATTAATTCCCACATGTATTTATTTTAGTTCATGTATTTATTTATACATTTTAGTCATTAATTAGTTTTCATTTCTTATTTTTCCTTTATTATTTTCTGTATTTATTTTTTACTTTATTTTCATAATTTTTTACTTGTTTTATTCTTTCAATTTTTTATGTTTATTTATACATTCATTTATTGTTATATTTATTTATTTATTCCCACAAGTATATATTTTAATGAAATTTAGTCATGAGTTATTTTAGTAGCCTACTTCTTTTTCCTTTATTATAAAAACATTTATTTAAAAAAAATTTAAATTCTTTATTTTTACATTTATTTATGCATTCATTTATTGTTTTATTTATTCCCACATCTCCTTATTTATTTATACATTTATTTTTATGAGAAAATAGAAATGCTATTTCAATACAGATAGCTACAGTACTGTGTGTTTGGCTTGTTCTGTATCATAAAAGTCAGATGGATGATAGACAGGTGTTTTATTGATTCTATCTCTAAACAGGTTTATTGATCAGTTAATTTATTGATTTTCTTTCACAGCCTAATTGAGAGCTCAGAGTGTAATGACTGTACATTACTGAACACCATAATAAATATAATGCAGCTACAGGCATAAAAAAGAGCATTTATCCTCCTCACACATATAGAAAGCTTGTTCAAATGGACTTGCTTGTATGGTGTACAAAATAATAATATAAAAAAATAAATAAAAAAAATGTAATTAAAGTGCAATAGTAAAAGTAGTTTTTAATTGTTGTAAAAAAAATATAAATAGGTTAATTTAACAACACTAAATGTCATTCAATAGACTGACTTTCTCTCTTTCCCGTTCGCATCATTCCTGCGCGCGGTCACACCGGGGCGGGGCGCCGCGGTGCGTGCGCGCTGCCACCTTTTCGCGCCAGAGGAGGAGGGCACAGTTACCTCGCGCTTCGAATGGCGTCAGCGGTCTCTAGGCAACAGGCCAGTTGTCAGTCAGTCAGATTTCTCAATCAGAGCGGAGAGCGGCGGCAGCGGCGTCGGTCATGGCCCTCTCAAGGATCCGGTGCACCGTGAACGGCATGTGAATACAGCTCGGTGTCGTGCTGAAGAACTGAACCGGACACCCGGTACCGACCGAACCGGACGCATTAACGCGGATCCCGACTCGAACGCGACGCGAAGGTGTTCTCTGAGGGAATTTTACGCGCCGATTTAATTTGACTAACGTTAGTTGTAGTTCTTAGTTTCACATGTCATCGTTGAAAATATTTAAAAAATGCTTTAGATTTTATTCGTGACTTTGATTTTAAGAGACAATTACTTTCCCACCATCAAACTGTGGAGAAAATCTGACTGACTTTGAACTTCATACTTCATAACACGACGACTTTCCCTCAGAAAAATGCTGAAATTTCATAATTCTGATCTATGGATTGCTTGGCTGGTCTGCTTTTGTGTGAATGGTAAGTTTTATTATTATTATTATTATTATAATTTATGTGCAGCTCCTACACTTGCTTTTTATTTGCTTATTTATGGCGCAAATTGTTTTGTGTACTAGTTGCTGTGACGTCACAAAATCCTATATTTACAAGGAATGTAAACAAGGTCAAGATTTGAGGTGTTATAGAAAGTTTGACAACTTTCATGTGAAGATGTGCCCTTTTTGTGTATGTCTTTGTGTGTGTATTTGGGTTAGACTCCAAAAATCCTCACGAATGTAATGACATGACTTGTTTTCAGTGTTTTACACACACACACACACACACACTCTGTTGGGGTTTGGTTGCTTGTATGTTTTTGGCATGCAAAGTGCAGCTGTTGTGTGTGTGATCTGAACAACATAAAGCTTGATGCTGTGAAATCGTGAGTGGGTCATGATCATGGATGGGAAGCGGATACATGGGGCCGAGGACTGACGGAGGGCCAGACGGCGCAGGTCTGAGAGCCGTAATCCAACCAGATTATGAAGAGCACTGCTCCACGTGATGCTTGTGACAGGCAGATGCACACACACACACTTACACACTTTCATTGTACCATCCTCTGTGGCATTCGGGTGATATTCGTTTGCACATGTTGGTCCACACAAGGGACTGGCATATGCAGGTAACTCCAGTCTGGGATTGTATATTCATCCACTATCATCTAGATCAGCATATTGGATGCATCTGCTGCTAACTGTGGAAAAAGTGGCTTTGTTGTTTCCTTGGGTTCTTTGGAACTTCAAAAGCTTCTGTAAACACTGTCTGAAGTCTATTTTTCAGCATAGATTCAGAGTAGAGTTTCGTTCATGCAAAACATTGTCCGTGTCTGAATATGCATTCATTCCTACTGCAGTAAGCAACTCCTTTTGCATGCAAGTACACATTAGAGTAAAAGTGAACACATCAATTCTGCCATTTATGGTATCTTTACACAGTTAAGGCTGCTCAATGCCTGCTCAAAATTCAGTGTAAAGGTGCAATGCTGCATAAAAACCAGACTAAATTATGCCTGCTCTGACACAAGTATTAAAGCATAGAGTTGTAATTGCTGTGGAAATGCATTTATGCCACCTTCTGAGAAGCATTAAACAGTCTACGTTAAGACACGTGAATGCCACTTCAGAAGCGCTTCTGTGCCACCTTTGCAATGTAAATTTGGCATTTAAATTTGTTTTGCGCAATAATTTTTGCACAATGCAACTTCCCTTTAAAATCAAACCAAACTGAATTAAATTGGATTTTTAAAAATACATTTTACAGATTGTTTTCTCAAGTCGAATTAGGTTGAATTTCTTTTTCACATTGATTTTGTTGTCGAATAGGTTTCCCAAACCTTTTCGTTGTACTTACTGTATAGTGAATATTTTGAACTTCCAGAAAATTGCACACAAACACAATTAGATGCTATTAAAGTAAAATATTGTTTGATATAATAATATTGCACAATAGAATTTAAGAGAGAGTGATGATAAATACAATCGTTTCACATATAATTTCTGGGCAGTGTGTATTGACAGTATTGATTTTGTTTTATTGCCCTACTGATTATTTTCATTTCCAATTTGAGTGCTGATCAGTGTTTTAGTATTTTACTAACATTGAGGTTGTGTTATAGTTTTTCATAATATTTAGAAATAGGCTTTATTTTTACATTTTAATTTAGGTTTTAGTAATTTTATTATGTGTTTGAATCATTTTTATTAGTTTTTTATTCATTTAGTTTTTATTTAGTTTTTGAAAAATTAATGTCAGTTGTAGTTTTAGTTATTTTAGTGCATCAAGTTAAATGAGAAATGTTGCTTTGGCAATTAGCGAGAAAAGGGGATTTTATATTTTATTTTATTTCAGTTAAAGTTTATTTTACATCAAGTAATGAACATTTTATTTTTACGGTTTTAGTTTTAACTACAGTAAGTATCACCCTGGAGATGATGCTTAGTCTTGCAAAAATGAAATGTACAACTTTTTTTGCATCTACTTTGGCATTGGCCTAATTCAATCTCCATGCAACAGTTTCTCTCTCCATCTCTCTGTAAAGCATGTTGACGTTAAGCTGATGAGATAACAGCCCTGGATGTGTACGTCTATTCAGACATGTCTCATTAATACATGCATGTTTGTGACAGCATTTGCTGGTACATCCTTGTAGGGACTCCACTGAACATAAATATGCAACACTGTCATCTCCAGCGCAGGATCCATTTACAGAGCACTTCCAGGTGTTTAGTTCTGTTCAGGAGCGGCTCCCTGGGCGAGATTCACTTTAAATGTGGTTGTAAAGTGTCATGAGAGCCAGAGCAACGGGTCGGGCTCCGGCGAAACCCTGTGTTTTTGTTCCACAGAGGCCTGTGTGCGTGGCGTTATGGATGTTGTTGTCGGAAACTGGGGCGTCTTCCAGAGCTCGCTGCGTTTCCTGCGCCGCTGTCACTGTCAGTTTAGAGACATGTCCCTGCACATGATCACCGGATCTTCGGTCATTAATTTTGCATCTTCTGCCATTAGGAAATGGCCAGGCAGCACAAAGGGCCACGGCGAGGCACCTTGGGGGCATGTGAGGAAAAATGGCCATGCAAGTCTGAACTTTAAAAAGAAAAGTAGATAGATCAATGGAGACAGAGTTATGCACTGCCACTGACCAAGTCATCAGAGGCCTGAGCTGAAATGAATGATTTGTTACAGTGTTTTGAAGGAGAGAAAGAGAGAGAGAGGGATGGAGGCTTCTCTGTGCTTGAGTTCTAATCATTGTATCGCTCTGCCTCAGGCTTCAGGAACCACACCAGCGAACAGATCAATTCTGCCAATTAAAGTTCATCCGAAGCGGTGCTGCACTTTTTGACCCTGCGCTGAATGCAACTTCGCTTGAAAATCAAACCAAACTGAGTTAACATAAAAATGGATTTCTTGTATAAAGTTTGCAGATAGTTTTCTCATGGATAAGAACAAAGTTGAATAAGGGTGAATTTTTTCCGCAATTATTTTGTCTGATTTTAGTTTAATATCTGCTTTTATAAAATCTATCAGCATTTTTTTTATTTTTTGTGAAATAAATACATTTTATTTAATGTATTTAATTGCCATTTCCAGTCCTCAATAGTCATGTATACATTTACATGGCAAATATAGCTTAATATGATTTTTGCTCAACTCTTTCTGAGTGCAGTTTCTATAAAATCATTTTTAATAAATCCTCATAAAGTTTAAGTAAATTAAAGCTAGTTACTGGAAAAGCTTGTTGGTCCAACAATGTGGGAACCCTGGTTAGAGCCCTTGTTTTTTTAGTATTATTTATACAGTTCTAGTATTTATGAATAAACCCATCTGGTGGGTTTGCTGCCAAAAAGCTCTTTTTTTTTTTTTTTTTTTTAGTTTAATTTTGTAATCAAATATTTAATTTTCAGTTTTATTTCAATTAATGAAAATTATTTTTATTCGCTTAGAACACTCGTTAGAGCATGTCTTGATTAGGAGCTATTTAAATATGCAGTGATCCCACCAACATAATCCTGTGGTTTTTTTCTTGAGTTACTTTTTGGCACCAAGCAAATATGGCCATACATTTTTAAAAATCATTTTGTGAACTTACCCGTTCCACTTTTGTGTTTAAAGAAGTGAGGGTCAAAGTGATGATGATGATGCCAATATAAATGCTTTTTCCTGCCGAAAAGCGGAGCAGCTGGAATGTGCAGAGGACAGATGGAAGTTTCCACCTCGATTATCTTCAGCTAAAAATATCCACTCAAAAATTAAACGACCATTGGGACTGCTAGCAAAGTGCCTGAGAGAGAAAGAGACGGGATAGGACGACTGCCATCCTTGGGTTTATGATAGTTTTCTCATGGATAGGAACAAAGTTGAATAAGGGTGAATTTTTTCCGCAATTATTTTGTCTGATTTTAGTTTAATATCTGCTTTTATAAAATCTATTAGCATTTTTTTTATTTTTTGTGAAATAAATACATTTTATTTAATGTATTTAATTGCCATTTCCAGTCCTCAATAGTCATGTATAAATGTACATGGCAAATATAGCTTAATATGATTTTTGCTCAACTCTTTCTGAGTGCAGTTTCTATAAAATCATTTTTAATAAATCCTCATAAAGTTTAAGTAAATTAAAGCTAGTTACTGGAAAAGCTTGTTGGTCCAACAATGTGGGAACCCTGGTTAGAGCCCTTGTTTTTTTAGTATTATTTATACAGTTCTAGTATTTATGAATATTTTGAGTTAGCTTTTATTTTATATTTTCAGTTTAAGTTTTAGTAATTTTTTTATGTGCAGTTTTAAATTGTATTATTAAAATAAAAAATTTATTAAAACCTTTACATTTTAATTATTAAAAGTATAATTCTTTTTATTATTATTTCTATTTGGGTTAATTTATTTTTTATTTCAGTTTTAGTAATTTTAGTACTTCAAATATATATATATATATATATATATATAT